CCCCCTGCCCGCCCCCCCTCGCCTCCCTCCCCCCCGGTGGAGGGAGACCGGGCCGGGGAGGGGAGGGAGAGAGCGGGAGGGCTGAGACAAGAGTAGCGTCGGAGGGCGGGCGTTGGAGAGGGCTGCGGCGCGAGGGGCGGTGGGGGAGGAGGGGGAGGTCGCCTATTTGAAATGGAACAGCGCGTGAGGGGCCTCTTGGGTCGGTTGGCTTGGGGGAGATTCAGAAGGCGCGAGAGCTCTGCTTTGCCTCAGCGCCCTGGCCTTGCTCTTTCGGGGGGGAGGGGCTGCACTGCGCTGCGCTGCTTAACAGGCACCAGAAGACTTAGGAGCTAATTGAGGTACGATACTACTCTGGCTCTGAGCAACGGTCAGAACACTTTCTTCTGTCGCTTTTTTAAGAAAAGAGATGAGAGTTGCACCAAACAGGTAATGTGCTTCCAGTTGTCAGGATCCTGACAGACAATTTGTTGGACAGGTATTAAGTCCAACTGCAATTTGCTAAGTTCCTTACATCCTAATAGAATTAAAAAGTCATGCTAACCTGTGCATTTTGTAGCATTTGCGCTGTTCAATCAATTTTTCTTGACATAATTGTAATAACAGGCACCAATTTCTGCTACGAACATTCGTCTACTGTACTGTGAACTAATGTCATCCTAACTAAACCCCAAGAAGTCACTATTCCATTCTTCACTATCTTTTATCTGAAAATCAGTATAGCTGTTTATTGCAGATAATGCCCTAGGCATGCTGTGTGGTACCCTGTGGCAAGGGTCTAAAAATTTCAGAAAAAGTTGCTGAAATATGTGAATTGGACCTAATTACTAGCCCATATTCACTCTTTGGCAGCTTGGTCATTCTCCAGATCTCGTGGGCTGTATTTTCATTGTACTTGGCTAGCATAGCTGTGACTCCATAGGGTAATACATCTGAAGGAAAACAGGGAGGACAAAAACACATGGTTTTGGCCTGTTATCAGAGTTAAGCCATTTTTGCACGTGGCTATAATACAGGTTATCATGTGCTGCTTACCTGAGAATACTGACAAAT